CTGCACAGAGCGGGCGGCGCTGGCGGTGTGCCCTTGGGCGGTCGTCGCGACCCCGGGACCAGAGGCAAGGCAGGTGAGAGCCCTTAAATGGGACACGTGCAGTCACATGTCCTGATCAGCGCCGAAGGCCGACTGCGCGGCGGTGGGCGGGTGGCCGGTCTCGGGTTCATTCCCTCCGCAGCTCTGCTCGGTGCCCAGTGTGTGCCAGCCTCCTGCCTGGGGCTGTAAGCCACCGAGAGACACCCGTCTTTCCTCCTAGAGCTTACGTTGTGGGGGAGGGAGAGAGCAAACCTGAGAACATCGGCACCCCGTGCAGACACGTGCGGTGAGGAGACGGGGTGGGGAGGGAGCCTCTGCGGAGGGACCACAGGAGTCTGGAGAGCTGGTGTGGGGCAGGCAGCCTCGAGGATGCTTCAGCGCCTTCCAGGCAGCGAGATGCAGTGCAAAGGCCCTGGGGCAGGAGTGCTGGGCTGTGAAGGAGCAGCCGGGGGCCAGATGGAGGTGAAGTTGGCGGACAGCGGAGCCCAGGGGGCCCTGACCCTGCTGGGTTCCCGGCTCCCTCCGTCGAGGAGGCCCAGGTGGGTGATTGCAGGCACCTGAGGATGGCAGGGGTCACATAGTGGGAGATGGATAATCCCTGAGTTTCCAGCTTGAACACAAGGTCAGAGGGAGATTCCATGTCCTGGGCTGTGGGGGTGGGGCAGCAGGAGAGGTGGACTTGGAGTTGAGGTGATGCGTTTGAGGCATCTGTCAAGTACACCTGTAATAAGGGAAGGAAAACGCCCTGGCTGGTTTGGTGCAGTGCATAGAGCATAGGCCCATGGACTGAAGGGTCCCGGGTTCAATTCCGGGCATGTACCTCGGTGGCAGGCTCCATCCCCGGCCCTGACTGGGGCCCGTGTGGGAGGCCACCAATCGATGTGTCTCTCTCACATAGATGCTTCTCTCTCTGTCTCTCCTCCCTTCCACTCTCCAAAAATCAATGGCAAAATACCCTCAGGTGAGGATCAACAACAACAAAGAAAAACAAGACGGGTTACTGTGAAGCTCAGACATTGCTGACCTCCGAGCCGTGGGTGGTTCAGGGGTGAGCGTTTATAAGCTCCCCATGTAGCCCTCCTCTGGCTGAGCTCCCCGCGATTCCAGAGAGAAGGGCAGGAAGGGGAACTGGGAGATGTCTCTGAATTGCGGTGCCTTCGGGGCAGCCAGAAAAGGGTGGGGAAGACAGAAGAGCACTCCTCCTGGCAGTGTTTGGGGTGGGCTCCAGGCCCCTCCTGGGCCCTTCTGACCTGGTCCAGAGTCACGGCTTCAGGCGTGTGGCTACCTTCCAGAGCCTCTTCCTCCCACCTGCTTGTCCCAATGCCTAACACACCTGGCCCTCCTTCTAGGAAGTAGGGGCTGCGGGTGAGGGTGTGCAAACAAGGGAAGCGGGAGTGAAGGGGGAGGGGCTCTGACATTGGGAAGTGACGCCTTGGAGCTGGTCTGGGCCCTCCTAGGCCTGCATGGCCGGGGTCCAGGGACTTGGGGCATCATGTGTGTCCCTTGAGCAGAGCTCTGTGCTCAGCGGTTTGCCCAGGGCCGACTGCAGAGTTAGGGGGAGATGCGTCTAGAAGCCCAGTGCGCAGCCCCCTTGGTGGGGAGGAGAAATTCCTTTTGCCCCGACCAGCTCTGGGTGGGCCAGGGCTCTCCCGCCTGTGGGGGCAGGAAGGGCCGGGCCAGGCGCCCATCCCCGAGGCCCTGGCCAGGGTGCTGTTCTTGGGAAGTGGAAGGTGGAGCCGCCTTCTGCGGGAGCGGTCGTGGCTGTGACTGCGTGTTCTGTGAAAGCAGAGTGAATGCCGGTGTTAGGCGCTGGTTTCCCGGGTGGAAGACGGAGACGGGGGAGGGGCGGGCTTACGGAGCGCCTGCCTGTACAGATGCCCAGCGAGGCAGCCAGTGTAAAGCTCACACTTTCCACCGACGGGATCACACGCTGGTCCCGCTCTCCCTGCTTCCTCACTTATTCTATCTTAGCGTTTCTCTGCCAGCGTGTCGTATGCAGACTCACCTGCTCGCCACCTCATTCCACCTCCCAACACCCTCACACAGGGCCAGGGTCACCCACGTAAAAAGAAAAGCCCTCGTCCCCAGCCGGCAAGAACCTGTGCTGTCAGGCTGTCCCAGGGGGCTAAGGCCACAGTGGGGGGATGTACGTCCATGAACTGACACCTCAGTGAAAAGCATCGTTTTCATGTAGCAGCTGTACCATCTTCCAGCCTGGTTATGGCTTCTACACTCTAGTCTAGGGCAGCGATTTCCTTCCCTTTTTATTTATTTTATTTTTAGAAAAGCAAGAATTTATTGACCACAGCAAAAACATAGGACAGTGAAACAAGGACCAGTGCTCTCCTGGTTGCAAGTCTCCTGGGGTCCCTTAGAGGTTGGGGGTACGTGCCTGTGGACGAGGGGGGGACGGAATGGCTCCGAGTGCTGGGGCGGGGAGGGGGAGGGGAGCCCAGGGCAGCAATTTTCCACCGGCTGTGCCGCAAGCACTTGTAAACCAGGCGGCACCTGACTGTTTAGTTCAGGGCACGGACCTCTTTTCCCTTCGACTGTCCAATAAAACCGTGGCAACAGCCAGCACAGCAGTAGCTGTCTGGTGTGAATGAATCAACATGACCCTTATTTTTTGGGTAAAGTTGGTGACAATGTAATGTTTCTGGGTGTGATTAGGTCACGTGGCCCTGAGATGGAAAAGGTTGGAAACCGCTGGCCTGGGGAGTTGGCTCCCTAAGGAAGGAGGACGTTCAGTTTTCCTGCAGAATCATCTCACAGTTTTTGGGTTTGTCCTAAGAAAGGGGCCTGCCCCAGGAGCCATAGCGGGTCAGGGCCACTCACTCCCCTGCCTTGTTTTAGCCACACATGTGGGATCGGAGGCCTTGAGGGACAGGAAGGGCCACGGGAACCCCAACAGGGTTTTGTTGTGTTTTTAAAATATTTTTTTATTGATTTTTAGAGCGAGAGGAAGAGAGAGGGAGAGAGAGAGAGAAACATCGATGAGAGAAGAACATCATTGATCAGCTGCCTCCTGCACGGCCCCCGAGAGGGGTTGAACCTGCAACTGAGGCACGTGCCCTTGACCAGGATCGAACCCGGGACCCTTCAGTCTGCAGGCCGACGCTGTATCCGGGAGCCAAGCCGGCCGGGGCATTTCAGGGCTCTTAACCATGTTTGTTTCACGGACCCTTTGCCACAGGAGGGAAGCCTCTGGACGCCTTAGAGTAGCATTTTAAGAGAGAAAATACAATGCAGAGGATTACAGGGAAACCAATGGTATTGGAAGGTGGTTTTCAAAATATTAGAAAAACCCAAGTTTATGGTAAAGCAATCCGTTGTCCCCCTTCCAGTAAGTGGTCATATGCAGCCACTGGACTAATGACCACCGTCATTTTGAACGGCGATGAGCGTAAGTGATGTTCCGCGGCTTCGGCAGCAAGTTGAATGTGACGCCGAAAACCTGTGTCCCCGGATGAAGTCGCAGGGGCCACTGCTACTCCGGTTCCGTTCCTTCCTGATGGGAGACACAGCCGAGTCTCAGTCGGAGGTCAGTGAAGAGAAGACGGGGGGGTTTCCCCTTCACGTTCACAGACCCCTGAGCAGCGCCAGGCGCCCCCCTGAGGAGCCCTGCACCGGGAAATGCCAGCCCACCTTCCCGAGTGGGTGCAGGGCTCCTCACCCAGGAGCCTCGAGGGAGAATGGCTGTGGTCCCCCTCCCGGCGCACTAGCCGCCGTCCCGCGTTTTAATGACGGCCCGTGCGGTGGGCGTGAGCTGCGCCTGCATTTTCCTGTTCCTCACGGAGCCTCTCGTCCTGTGGCTTCTTGTTCTGCGTAATAACGGCCTGTTACTCATTTATCGGTTGTTGTGATTTTTGTCTTTGATTCGAAGGAATTCTTCATGTGTTCTGGATATTCATCACTACCATTTTTAAAGAGATGTTTTTATTGATTTCAGAGAAAGGAAGGGAGAGGGAGGTAGAAACGTCAGTGAGGAGAGAGCATCTGCTCCCGTTGGCGGCTTTTTCCTCTGATGGCGGAAGCCACCTCTGCTTCTTTGCGTGCCCCGTGGATTTTGATCGGGTCCCTAAGCTGAGGGATGGCGCCCTGTATGCACTGGTTTTTCCTCTTCCTCTGAAAAGTGATGGCTTTTGCTCTGGAAGGCGGTTCTGTTCCCAGCAGGTCGCCGTGGCCTTGTGGCGGCTCGGTTCTAGGACTTGTGAGGGCAGGGTTATGTCAGTGTTGCCCTCAATCTGGGATGTGGTCCTCACTTCTAACACCTGGCCCTTCTCTCCCTGGCCAGTGCTCAGTGGTTAGAGCATCGGCCCACCCATCGAAAGGTTGCGGGTTGGATTCCCGGTCAAGGTCAGGTAATGGGGTTGCAGGTTAGATCCCTGGACCAGGTCGAGGCATGTGCAGGAGGCGACCAGTGGATATGTCTCTCACATCCGTATTTCTCTCTCTCTCTCCATCCCTCCTCCCTTCCACTTTCTCTGAAAAGCAATGGAAACAATATCCTCAGGTGAGGATTAACAAAATAAAACAGTAACACGTGGCCCTTCTGGGGTGTTGGTAGAAAGCGCAAGCGGCTCTCACTTGGCTGGACTTGAGTTCCAGTCTCTGTCGGCAGCTGAGCAGCTGCTGCCATCTCTGCTCGGTGCTTCGGCCTCCAGGTCCCACTTTCCACGCAGCCCCTTGGAGGTGCGCCCTGTCCATGCGCCGCGGAGGGTGCAGCCGAGGACGTCAGGGGATTTGTACACAGACTGTGGGCGGCGCCCCCAGGGCCTGCCCTCCCGCAAGGCCCAGCTCCTCTCACAGCCCTGAAATGCAGCGTCTGCGTCTCAGCCCATTGGACGGCCGCCTCCTGCCTGCATTGTCTCCCGTGTGCTGGGAGGACGGAGGAGGTGCTGGGGGAGACTGGCCACACCTGGATGCCACCCCTTGTTTTGGTCGCCACAGGGTGCTGCTTGCCCTCCGGGACCTTCACAGAGCTCCCCTTTGTCCTCTGCTTATCACGGCCGCGGGCGGGATGGGCAGTGTGACCCACGTTTCTATGCTGTTGTTACCTGACTCGGAACTTACCCTGAATCTTCAGTGGACACGTAATAGCAATCCAGAGCACCCAGAACCGATCAGCCCTAGCCTGTCCCCCAAAGGACAGAAACCTGGGTCTGCTCTCCCTCCCCCTCAGCTCCTGGCAGCGCCCTGGGCTCTCAGGTCTCTGTGATTAGTCACTTGTTAATTTGCATAAACAATTGTGGAGCCGACACTGTCAGGTGCTCAGGGCTGCTCAGCTGCCACAGATTCCAGATGACACTTACCTTTTCTTCACATTTACTGGCCTTTCTTTTCCATTAATAGCCTGTGTTTGTCTCATGGATGAAATTTTCTGTCTACTCTTGAAGGATTACTTCTTTTTATTGATTGATTTTTTTTTTTGAGAGAGAGAGAGGGGGGGGGGGAAAGAGAAAGAGACTCTGACTTGTTGTTCCACTTACTTAGACATTCATTGCTTGGTCCTTGTCTGTGCTCCGGGCGGGGGTCGAACCTGCAACCTTGGCCTGTCAGGACGACGCTCTAACCATCCGAGCCCCCGGCCAGGGCTCTGAGTTCCACTGGACAATCTGTCTGTGAAATGTTCCCATGGGTGCTGGTCTCTGTTTATTGAGTGTTTTGTTTTTCTTGGTCTTCGTTTTGTGATTTAAAATTTTATGCCCATATCTGTGTTTCAAAATCCCCAAGAGGCTGGCAGAGGAAGGACCTTGCTTCTGGCCAGAGTACCCTCGAGTCCCTCTCACCTGGCAGTTTCCTGCCACCCGGGGGCC